GCCGTTCAGTGGAGGGAAGGCAAGCCCACACTTTCAGACAAGAGAGAACCTGAAAGAATCCAAGAATTCCAGGCACGTGAATCTTTCTTGGAAGACAATTACCCAAGAGTGGAAGCTCAGGCCAGATCCTTGGAGGAGTTGGGTGAAAGGTGCTAAGGATGTAACTGAGTCCTCCAAAAAGCCATGTAAAAACCCCGTCCCCTGGACTGAGAATGTGTGTTTCTCAGGGAAATAAGGTTTCCCTTTGCCAAGTGTTATCAGTTACATTAACAAGGTTATGCAAAGTAGGAAGAACAGTGCCCACTTATTCTGTCTCATGACGATGCCGCACACTCAGAGTCTAATGCACTTCAGAGCTTCCGTGGCCAGCCCTGTCTTCCAAGACACCTGTAGGTGGACTCAAACCACCAACCTTTCCAGCATCTGTTTGAATCCCTGCTTTCAATTCTTCTGTGTAGTTAGTTAGTTACCTGTTCTTGTTAAATGCCAATGAGTCAGTTCCAACCCATATTGACCCTGTATAGAATTTCTGAGGAGCAGGTAGTAGATTTGAACTGCCAGCCTTGACGTTGACAGTCCAGTGCTTATCCTACGGCTGATTATTCTATGTTTAACTTTTTAAAGAACCATTTAACTACATCTGCCAAGGAGGAGTCCTGGTGAGGCACTGTAGGATAATGCATTGGACTGCAAGGTTGGTTTGAGCTGCAAGGTCAGTGGTTCAAACTCACCAGCCTCTCCTTGGAAACCCTATATAGGGTCACTATGAGTCGGAATCAGCTTGAGGGCACTTTATGGCAGCCAAGGGGAAGGTGAGGGTATTAAATGTTCTCCACAGCGGCTGCTCGGTGTTTCACTCCCACCAGCAGTAAACAAGTTCTAGTCTCTCGGTCCTCATCAACACTTACTTGCTCTTTCTCTCTGCTCTCCTAGAGGGTGTGAGGTGGTATCTCACTGTGGTTTTCATTTGCCTTTCTCTGATGGCATCTTAGATCTTGAGCCTCTTTCATGTACTTCTTGGCCATTGTATACTGTAGATTGACCCTTCTTCAATTTGGTTGTTTTTTAGTTGTTGGGTTTTATGGGTTCTTTATATATTCTGGATATTAAATTTGATTTTCAAATACTTCCCCCCATTCTATAGTCTATAGGTTCCCTTCTCACTTTCTTGATAATGCCCTTTGATGCCCCAACTTCACCCGGTCTTGATGAGGTCTATCTGTTGTTGCTTGTGTTTATGACATCACACCTAAGAATCCATTGCCTAACTCAAGATCTCTGAGATCTACACCTGCGTTTTCCTTGATGAGTTTGATACTTTTAGCTCTTACATGTGGGTTTAGGGTCCACAGTATAGTTTGAGTGTGTATATGGTGTGAGGTAGGGGTGCGACCTTTTTTTACTTGCAGAGACTCAGTTTCCCAGTACTATTTGCCCCATTCCCCAGTGCACTGTCTTGGAATCTTGGTTGAAATTCCTTGAGCTTTTTTTAAGCAAATAATTCTTGTGTAACATTCTTTTAAAGTGTAAAGTCATTGTTTAAGGGAAAAAAGAGATGTGACTGCGAAGTGATTTGCTGAAGCTTGCTTTCCCTTTCAGCCTTTGGATCGGTTCCCAGGGTCCAAGTGTGAAATGTATCAACTTCTTTCCCTGAGTTCAAAGGCCGTGGGGGTGGGGCAGTGAAACCTTAGGGCTGTATGCTGAGGGTGGGGGTGTTAGGGAGCCCTGGAGGCACAGTGCTTCAAACACTCACCTGCTAACTGAAAGGTCAGTCACTCAGCATGACAAAGACGTGGCAGTGTGTTTCTATAAAGATGGGTTGTTAAGTGCTGTTTCTAACCTGACAGCTCTGTGGAGTTGTGCTCTCAGTCACACACAGCGGGTTAGGGACTCAATGCTTTAATCACAGCCTTACACTGCTTTAGACTCTAGACAGATTGTAGGTGGTGAGCCTCGGAAATGCAAGCTCCCTGGGGAGGGACTGCCCCTCTGGCCTTGCCCCCACTTTTCTGCAGCCCTGGATCTGCCACCCTTGTCCTTGTTCCTCTGTTGGGCTCTGGTGCCAGGAAGCCAGGGTTTCCATGTGTATGTATGGGGCGGGGCACAGCCACTGCTCTATGTTGAATGCCTTTGTATACAATTGCACGTTCTCACACATACTCTCCTCCTTCCCCCTCACCCCCCCTGAACCTTGCTCCGTTTTAGGTCCATGCCAGGCCTGTCCCCACCAAACCAGACTTGGGCACTTTCAGGAGTCCTGGGTACCCGATTTGTGGACAGACAGCGGTGGGGTGGCCTCGGCCAGTGCAATGGGATGAGATCTATCTGGCGTTAAAGCAGTTTTTGCATGAACAGAGCCTTTGAGTGGTCAAAATTCCTGGAATTTACGCCAGGGCCGCCTTTAAGTTCCCTGAGGTCAAGGAGCAGCCAGCCTTGCTCCCTGTCACACCCCATCCCACCCCACCCATTTATGACCCTGACCTAGTATTCCATCTGCCCCAGGGTAGCAGCCTGACAGCCAGGGACTGAGACCCCTCCAAAAATCCCAGCAGGCCTCGGTGGGCATGTTCTGTCCTGAGGGATCTCCAGACAGCACTGGTCCCCAAGCCCATGCGGCTGCCGCTATAGTCCCAACCCCACAGCCACCACCCAGGCCGACAGGTGTGAGTGTGATTACCCAAGGCTGCCAACCCTCCTATCAAAAGACACCCAGAGGAATCATGGGATCCGGGATCTGCCCAGCCAAAGGCACTGTCCAAAACCAAAACTGAATCCAGAGCCCATGGGTCCTAAGAACACCCAACCACCCCTGGGAAGCCCCAGAGGACCCACACGATCTGATTCTTTAACAAGGAGCCGCCCAGAAAGCAACGGCAGGGGGCGCAAATGCAGGAACTATGCATGTGGGGAGGACCCCACGGGTACAGACCAGGTGGGCCTTCAGGACATGAGGAGGGACAGCCACATTTGTAGTTGCTGTCATTCCACTTTAGAGGCACACGCTGATGCGTCCTCAGGTTTCGTGTATAAACATACAGTGCCTAGGTTTGCCGCCAAAGGATCCAGTGGGTTGGGGGACTGCTCTGCGGGGACCATTTTCTCTAATAACAGCCTTGTTGAAATACAGGTCCCTGGCTGGGGCCAGTGGTCTGTGATTGACTACTAACTGAACCTGGTGGTTTGGATTTTCTGCTTCCATAAAGATTTAGTCTCAGAAACCTACCCAGGGTCACTACGAGTGTGAATCAACTCGACCGCAATAGGTTTGGTCTGGTTTTCCGTGGCGCCGTGGAAGGAGAGTCTAGCTAGACTGTTCTGCTCTGAGACTCGAAGTGCCCTCGTGAGCCACCACTGGCTCCACAGCCAGGGGTTTTGTTAATGATATTCACAACACCCTACTTTTTCATCATTTGGAGCTGCTCCAAGAGCAGATGGAAGCCCGGGAGGCCCCAGGCAGCAGACACCATGCTGAGGGTCTGGCTCACAGTCAGTCCCTCCTCCAGCAGCTTGCCTGTCCGTCCCAGGGTTTGCAGCTCTGGAGAAGGAAATCTTCTAGCCCCTTCAGGGTCTGCTGAGCAATTGGCCCATACCACAGAGATCAGGGCTGATTTACAGGATACCTCCTATAACCAGGACTGAGGAGGCCCCCACAGCTGGTCCAGAACCCTCAAACTCAGGGTCCAACAGTGCTAGGAGCTTGCTGGGAAGGGCGGCACCTTGGGTTCTACTGTGATGTGCTCCAGAACCCAATAACACTGCACCCTACTGCCCGAGCACCCCCATCTCTACTTTGTACCGCCACATGCCCACCTCACCCAATTCTTCCTGCATTTGGGGGGTTCTCAAAGTTTTCATCCTGACAGCGCCTTCTTGCTGCTCTGGGAGTCTGCCTCTGCAATGGAGAGCCCTCCTGGAGGGTACTGCTGTTGCCCGTGGTATGAGGGTGGGCTGCAGGCTAGTGAGGAATACAGGGCACGTGGGCACCGAGGAACAGTAGCACGTGAAAGGCGGAGCTGTTCATTGTCTTTTATGGTGTCTGGCAACACGCCCGGGGTCCTCTGACCCCTCCAGCATAAGGTCACAGTACCAGGGAACTCAGTAAGCAGAAGTCTAGGAGGCAGCATTTTGGCTGATGGACAGTGATCACCCTCAGTACAGAGGGCCTCAGATACCCCTGTCCCAAGCTCCCATGATGGAATTCGCTGCCCACAGCCTGAGAAACATGACATGGTTCCTGAAGACAGAGGCAGCTTGTGGCCCTGAAGTTTTGGCAGAACAGATTGTTAAAGCCACAGGGGGTTGGATGGAGGGAGGGCTGGTGCATGGGACCACCTGAGGCGTGAACAGAGACCCTTGGTGCTTCCCACTTTGGGTACTCATCTGCTTCTGAGTTCAGCTTAGTGCGGGGGTCCACCTAGCTTGAGAACTCAGAGTTAGCTATGCTTCTCCTCACAGTAAAAAGAACTCATGTGCACACACCTGCTGGGGTCCACACCCCCCAAGTGACCATCTAGTTCCTACATGGAAGCAGCTGGAAGCCAGCAGTGCTGAGGGCTCAGAGCAGTTGCTCAGTGAACCAGCAAACCAAAGGGGCTCAAGGCAAGGAGGCAGGTGACCCAAGGGTCCCAAGGGTGGCTGGGGGGGGAGGGGCAGATGACCAACAAGGCCCTTCCTTCCACCTTTAGTATAAACCAAGTGGCTACTCCATGGGGTCATACAACCAGCCGTCCAGCCAGCGGCTCAAGCCTTGCCCTCCAGGGATCTGTCTCCTGAGTGAAGAGTTGTTGGGCAGGAAGTGGGATGGGCAGGGAAGAAGTAGGTTCTGAGGTGGGAGGTGGTTGAAGCTTCAGGGGCTGGGAGACCATGTGGCCTGTGGCAGGAAGGGGCCTAGCTGGGAGGGTGGTCGGGTGGTCCCGGACCAGGATGGGAGGAGAGCTGGGTTGGGCACTTCTGGACCACCCCGTCTGGACTCTTTGGAAGGAAAGGCGTCTCTGCCCCGTTCAGGACGGCACTTTGATGCCGAAGTGTTTGCGGAGCTGCTCCAGGAAGACGAAGGTGAGCACCGTGTGGGGTACCAGGCGGATGCCAGCAGGGAAGAGGCCCTGGATAGGTAAGAAGGAAGAGTGACCAGAGCTCCGGTGGTACCCGCCCCATCTCCGCCCCACTCCAGCCCCGCCCACCTTGTAGAAGGCCAGTGGTCCCAGCTTGGCGGTCTCCATGGCACAGTGGAAGACTCCCTGAGGGGCGGAGCAAAGCAGAGCCATTGTAAAGCTGTCCCTTCTCCAGCACCCATGGGGGCCGGGGGACAGGCAGGTAGCCGAGGCGCAAGGTCTTTACAAGTGGCAGGAAGGTCACCTGTCCCACAACCCTGACCCAACAAAAGCAGATTCTGCCAGGGGCAGGCTGGCTAGCCGGCAGGGGGTTGTGAGCCGCCACATGGGAACCCCTTTGCAGAGACAGAGACCCAGGGAGCTTCACGGAATCCCCACCCCCACTGCTGACTTGTTAAAACTGTATTGTTGCCTAATTTTACCCTGTGAAACCCAGCTGTAAAACCCAGCTGTAAACAGGCTGCCTTTGTTAATTTGTAAAAGAAATCCGATTAAAAAACAAAAGGAAGTCAAAGGCCAGTGGAGGTATGGCTTCTTTCCCCAGGGCAGAGACATGAGCCCCCCCCCAAAAAAACTTTGCAGCAGCTCCTTCCCCAGGCCTCGGAGTGGGACCCCAGCCCCAGTGGCACCAGCTCACCTGGTACTCGCCCTTGGAGTTCATCAAGCGAGTTTTGAGCACATCCAGAGGCTGGCACAGGAAGGTGGCACACCCGCCCTGCAGGGGAAGGGGACGGTCACCAACTACGCTGGCCTGAGGATGGCTTCCCTGCAGACCCCTACCCAAGTGCCCACCACATGAAGCCTAAGCTCCTGGTTTCTCCTGACGCCCTAAGTCCCCAGGCTGGGTCAATCCTATATCAGGGACTCACCGCGATGAAGCTGGCCACAAAGTGGGTTAGGATGTTGTCCGCGAGGTAGCCTGTGCCCAGGACCAGCTGCTTGGCCTGGTCATAGCAGGACAGCTGGGGGAATGGGAGGGACGGTCAAGCCCATAGAGGGACCCCAGGGAAAACTGACCCAATTTCCCCACACCCAGCATGGATCACGTACCCACTTAATGGTCACTTGGCAGATGTGGAAACCAAGGCCAAGGCCAGAGTGTAAAGGGTCTGCCTAAGGTCAAGCTGGATGGCAGTACTAGGCCCTCCCCAGTCCATGCAGGAGGGTCTCAGCACCCCTGCTCCCACCCCAGTGCCTAATGTCTCCCTCTGTGATGGAGCAGGACCATGCCTGAGACCCCTCTGGGTGTACGGACCCCTACCTGGCCCACAGTAACAAGAGCCCCGCGGCTAGAGGCCATGGTTGCACCTGAGAACAGCTTCCTGAGACCCTCTGTGGAGGAAAGGGGAGGTCAGGCATGGGTCTCCAGTCTTGTGCCTTCTGCCCCTGCCCCAGGAAAAGACCTTTATTTCTCTCACCTTCACGGGCCACGCGGTAGAGGCCATCCAGGGCATGGGCATAGCTGCGTGGACAGAACAGGCCTGTGAGTGGTCTCCCCGGGATTACGGCACCCCAGTTCTCTAGGTTTACATACAAGAAACACAGCTCTGCTCCCCACGGCCTGATGCCCAGATCACAGAAAGGGTCTACAAGCCCCCCAAAAGCCACCATGGCCGTGACTCCCCAGATGCCTTGGACAGGTGTGCTGGTTCAGTCCAAACAAAACCAGGTGATGTGTCCCCAGTTGACTCAGGAACACAGTACTTTCCAAAGGCCATTAGACCCCTACCCTCATCTCATGTGACCCCATAAGCCATGTGACCTGTCAGAGTACTGCCTAGTTCTGAGAGAGCTACTTGGGGGTCTCTCTGACCTCAGGCCTCCCACTCCAGAGATCCAGGAAGTTCCCCAAACCACACTCAGCCCTCGGATAGGACTCCAGGACCGCCCCCCCACCAGCCACACGCCTGGTGGAGCCTGACCCTCTGATAGGACCCCAGGGTCCAGGCCCTCCGCCCCACCCCCCCAATGGAGCCAGGCCGGACTCACTTGCGTCGTTGGTTCACAGGCAGCTTCATGTCGTTCTGCATCCTGAAAGAGATCTGGGGGCTCAAGGGGCTGGGTGAGGACCAGGGGACACCCCTCCCCTCAGGCTCCAGCAGCCTGAATTAGTGGGACCCCTGAGGCTCCCGGGGCACCGGGCACACACAGTACCCAGGGTCCAAAGCAGAGGATGGAGCGCGCAGGCTTTCAAAGCCCCTGGGGACCGAACACTGGTCAGGTCCAGGCCCAGGCCAGCCCCAGAATGACCCTGACCCTGGGGGGCGTGTACTGACCTGACATTCACCATGTCTGCAGGGGTCCCTACAAAGCCGCCGGTGAAACCTGGGGCGACATACCCCCCCCAAAGCCAAATGTGATATGTGAGGACCAGTAGCCCCCGAAACCCACCCAGTACCCCTCCCTCAGTCGCTCACCGCCAATGGCTCCCAACAGCACCTTCTGGTAGAAGGGCAATGGTCCCTGGCTGTCCTTGCTCAGGCGATCACGCACCGTCTCGTAGATGGCGAAGCGCGTCAGGGAATAGGTCATCTGTGGGGACGCCCTGCTTAGGAGCGGCCAGAGGACCCTCGCTCCCCATGCACCTCCTCACCCAACTCTGGGGCATGTTATCCAGTTTAGAGAGGACCCCGGGAATGGTAGGAAGCTCTATTACCACCCCCGCACCTGTCTGCAGAGGGAGGCGCTGAGGCCATTGTAGAGCGCCAGGATCCCATCGGAGCGCACCACCTGCAGCGCCATGCCGGTCATGCGCAGCTTCACCTCCTGCTGGGTCTGTAGGTGGACCTGCCGGTGGGAGATGGGGGAACACCCGCTCAGCCCGCACCCAGCCTCATTGTGCCCGTGGCTGGCACAGAGATGCAGCGAGCTCTCTTTCACCATCTGCCCCGTGTACACCTCACAAAGGCCCCCTGCCGGCAATACCCCATTTAGAAACTCGGGAAACTGAGGCTTGGGAGTAACAAGGCCTCCCAGCAGTACTGGCTCAGGGATGGAGCTACGGCTGCCCTGAACCTGCTCCACCCTACAATGCTGTTACCACAGTAACAGCTGTTGGTATCGAAGTGGGGAAGGGAGGCAAGACCCCTAGTCTTCAAGCAGCTTTCCACATAGCCCAGGGAGGGTTGTTGTTCCCATAAGACAGAAGGGAAACTGAGGCACAAGGCGTGCAGCACACTGTGGACCCCGCAGGATAACCCAGGAAGGAGTTGGGAGTGGAGGTGGGGTTCCACAGCTGGGCACAGGGTGCAAGACTGAGACAAAGAGAATGTGGAGGTAATAGCTGCCACACTTAATTCTCTGGCCCTCTGGCAATCACCACCACCCCGTAGTCATGTCCCCCAGAAGGGGCCAGCATGAGGAGGTCAGAGGAAGTTTGTGCACGGCCCCGTCACACTGGGCATACCCGTGGGGACCCCAGACAGAGCTCTCACTGGGTGTGCCCAAATTACTGAGCTCAGCGGGGTCTGGACCTGACCTCTCTTCCCCTCTTCTCTGGGATAGCCTTTCCACACTCCCATACAACTGCCCAGGGTTGGGGGCTGCACTGTATGACTACTCCCTGCAGAGAGAGGTGGGAGGACAGAGCTAGGGCATGGGCAGTGTAGAGTGACAGGCTCTTTAAAGGTCCCAGAAACTCACCCCACCTGTGCCCTTGGATGACCCTGACCCTCTGCATCAATAGCACCTTGGGGCAGGCAGGGCGAGGGCAGGCAGTGACACCCAGTGGGGCCTTGGAGGACGGACAACAGCCAGGGAGTCCAGGTCACAGTGGGTCAGCAGTGAGGTCCACAGTGTGAACATGGCCACCACATCAGTTTCCAGCCTGACCCTGCAAGGCCCTGGCATGGACACATGGGGCACCAGGAAGCAGGAAAAGACAGACTGGGAAGGCCCTCCTTCCCAAACCCTCTTCCTGGTTCCTGCCATCCCAACTTCCTCCAAGTCACCTTGCTCCCAGGTGCATGGATACAGTCATCAGTTTCACCCCACTCCCTGCTACACTTCACTTTTACTTAGCAGCTAAGAGAGACTCCACTGATCTCTCTGCGTCCAGAGGAAAAAGAGTGATGTTGATGGAAATGGACTGAAAACAGTGAGTCCAGTGGACTCCTGGATCACATCAGCATCAGTCACCACGACCCTGAGACCAGAAGAACTCGATGGTGCCTGGCCACCACTAGCAAGTGCTCTGAAAGGATCATGTTAGAAGGTCCCGGGTAGAGTGGGAGAAAATGTGGAACAAAACTCAAAATCCTAAAACGACCAAGTTTAGAGACTAGAGGATCCCCGAGACTCTGGCCCCTAGTCACTCCTCAGATCTGGAACAGAATGTCCCCCGGGGCTCAATAGTGAGCCAAGTACTAGACAGGTATGTAGAGAGGACACTAATGAGGCACACACAGCCTAGAATGGTCAACCATTCAAGATCAGAAGAGAAGTATTTCGCCAGGGACAAAATTCAGAAGGGTTGGGAGAGGAGGAAGAATGGAAGTAAGAATCACAGGAGGGTAAGTGGGGTGACTTTTACGTTGAGGGATTACCATTACTGAGACAAAACGAAGCCTTGGATTTGCTGAATGTAGAACTGATGATCTACTCTCTCTAAAGCTGAACCCAATTCACAATAAAAAGGTTTTGTTTTGTTTTTTAAAAAAGCCAGTCCCCTCTCTTTATGAAAACACACCATCAAGTTGACTCTGACTCATGGGAACACACTGTGCCCCACAGGATTGTCAATGGATGATCACCAGGCCTTTCTTCTGAGACACCTTGGGCTGGACTTGAACTTCCAACCTTTCAGTAAACAGTTGAGCTACCCAGGGCCTCCTCAGGAAAAAGGCTGCTGACACAACTTTAAGAATAAACACTGGACTGTGAACGACAAGTGAGCTGGGCCCACTTGCTGCTCTGCAGGACAAAGACGAGGTTTTCTGCTTCTGAACATTTTTATAAAAGCCTCAGAAGCCCTATACAGAGTTGCTATAAGTCCAAACAGACTCAATGGCACTTAACAACAAGAGGGCAAGGGTGTGGGGCAGCCTGGCTGGGGGTGAAGAGGAGGAGGCCCCCACTGACCACAAGTCCAGGGTGAACAGGAAGGGACTCCCTGATGGACTTTGCTCGGTTTTTAAAGGCCTAGGCCTTTCTTCTTTGTTCTTTGTGGTGAGAAAGGGTCAGAAAACAAACACTGTTAGCTGGCCTATGAAGAGACAAGGACAGTTCTGTCTGATTTTTCCATACGCATTTTTTTCCCCTTTAAAAAAAAAAAAAAAGAGTTTAAAGAAGTGAGACTATAGCTCCCTCTGAGTAATGCCTACTACCTCTTAGGACCTGGGTGGTCTAGTCTCAGCTGCGGTGTGACCCTAAAGTCCCCTTTCTTGGCCTCCCATTTCAGCCTGCTCCATGTAGTTGGTTTGGCCTTCCCTCGGCTCAGGGAGCAACCTAAAGCTGGGGTGCCTGGTCACCCCATTACCCAGCAGTCTCTCATTCCTTCTACCACAGTGCATGTCCAGTAGCCCAGGGTACAGATGCCCATGCGGACCCCTATACACATCAGTATCAGAAACCCAGACACCAGGAGCACTGTATGTCACACAGGATTCCTGAAACTGGGGAGGGGACTGTACTCGCCAGGTCCTGGGCTCGCTGCCACCAGCAAAGGCGACTTGAGGTATCTCGGCAGCTGGCATTCCTTCACCCAGAGCGTGCAGAGCCTAGGGGGTCCCCTACCCCTTTCCGGCAGCATCTTGAGGTGTCCCCTGGGGGGACTGAGATGCGGCTGTCCGCAGTACTCGCTGAACGATTTCAGATCCGCCCGCAGATCACGGAACTGGGCAGGCTGGGCGGCTCCGGTCGGTGCCGGTCCCCGTCACGCTTTAATCACAGGGTGAGGCCAGGGCGGGTAGGCAGGGCTGCGGCCACAGAAGGCGCCCTGGTCTCTACCTCCGGGGCCCCCAGTCTCAGGCCCCCGATCGGAGGTGCAGCGCAGCCTCGCGGTCTCACCTTGAGCAGGTCCAGCGGGTGAGTGCAGCAGGCAGCCCCACAGGAGGCCAGACCCCCGAAATACCAGCGTGACACGCGCGCCTCGGCCGCCATGGCCCGGCTCGGTGTCCGCCAAGTGCTCTACTTGACGCTCGGTGCTCCCCAAGTGCTAGGTGACCAGTACCAGGTGCCGGGCGTTCTGCGCCCGCCGCCAGCTCCACGCCGTGTTCAAAGCTCAGCCAATGCGCCCGCGCGGGCCCAAAGGCGGGCCCTCGCCAGACCCCGCCCCAACGCTGGGCGGAACGTGCGCCTTAAAGAGGCCGCGGCCCAGAGCCGAGCTGTGGGTGCTCTACTAGACCGCGGGGTCTATCTCCGCCCCCAGAGCCCGGGGACCCTGTAGTCCTTGGACCGGTCGTGCCCTCGTGGATCCCACCAGTCGCGGGGAGCCTGAATGGGCCACATCACGCTTTCCGGGAACCTGGTGTCCCCTGGCCACCTTCAACGGGACCCACGCCTGGGACAGCGCTCCGAAGGTCAGCTCGGGAACAGCCGGCCCAGGACTCTCGGTGCCCCGAAGCTCCACCCTCCTGGAAACCCGACCCTGAACTTATACCCAGTCCTACCCTTTCGGCAGCACAAGCCCTGGCTTGTATCACGGCGGCGGGAGACAACCGGAGCTGGGACATGCGGCGAGGGGACCTGTGTCCACGCCTCTGTAACCTCCTCTGCCCCATATACCAGGAGGCTGGGGGAGAGGAAGTGTGGGCAGACTACCATTTACCCTCACATATATGGGGCTGTCCTGCCCAGCTGAAACTCCTGTCCCCACCTCCGGGCTAACGATTTGTATTCTTCAAGGGCAGGTTGGTGGGCTAGGGCCCCACAGGAAGGGTAAGGAGAGGTGGTCCCTGGTTTATAATTCCGGAGCAAACTGAGGACAGAAGACCCTCATCCTTGTCCACCCTTGTCCACCGAGGAGGCCCTAACCCTGACCCCATGATGCCAGGCTCAGCTGGTGGTCCTCCCCACAGCCCAAGTGGCCCCAGGTGTCAGTGTGTGTCAGGGTCAGGCAGGGCCTGAGTGCCCCCCAGCTAGGTCCTGCTCCAGAACTGCGGAGTTCCTTGGGGCAGACGAACACTACAATGCCAGAGTAAGGCACAGAAATGCCAGTGGGCAGAAGTGCAGAGCTAGACAGCATTATTCTCCAAGACCCAAACCTATAAAGACTTGGAGGGCTTTGAGCACAGGGGAAACAGCGGAGCTAGGTACATGAGTGTGAAGACCTGGCCCTGGGCCTCCACATGGACACCAACAGTCCAGGGGCTGGCATTAGCACAAGGTTTGGGCATGAGGTGGTAGGCCCTCAACAGTGACCCCACAACTCACCCTGCCTGAGCTCTCAGGGTCACCCCAGTTCTAAAGGTGGGAGGGTCCACAGCAGGGGCAGTCTGGCGCAATAAGGCAGGCTCCCGCTCTGCTCTATGCTGTGGGTGAGTTGTTGGCTATACAGGGCAGCTGCAATTCCCATTCACTGAAGAGGGAGCATCAAAGCGGCCAGCTCCTCAGTCCCCCGGGGAGACCCGCCTAGCCAGACACTGCCCAGAGTGCTCCCTGCTGACCCCTCACAGCCAAGCCCGACGACTGGGACCTTGCAGCTCATCCGGCTGATGGTGGATCCCCTCCAGCACTAGGCCCCATGCTCCCCAGTCCCTCTTAACAAATCAGTGGAGGCCCGCCCTCGCTGGTAGCCTGATCAGGGAGAAGCTGAACATGCACCTAGTAAAGTCCTGGGCCTGTCCACACGGCAATGTCACTGGAGCAGGGCTGAGAGCACCACCACACCTGTGTACTCCCAAACTTGCAGAGCCCTCAGACGTCCTACAGGGCTGGGCGCCCCCGGCTCCACCCCAAGGATCCCGTGAACACAACTTGCACGTGCTGTGTCTGAACAGTGTATTTCCCCGCCAGCCACAGAGAGCTGTGCGGGGACTTGAGGTTCCCAAGTCCGTTTCCTGGTGCCCTCGCGGGCAGCGGCTGCCCCACCCCGCAGGTCCGTTCCTCCCTCCTAAAGGGAGCTGGTATCCAGTGCCAGGAGACCTCGCTGTGACTCTGGGACCCTGGCCTCGCCAGGTGCAGGGCAAGCCTCGCAGGGCCTCAGCCCCTCAGTCCTCTCGCAGGGTTATTCCAGCACCACGGTGCCGCCCACCGCCTCCAGTGCCGCCTTGATCTTCTCGGCCTCGGCTTTGGCGATGTTGGCTTTAATCTCCTGAGGCAAGGATTCCACCAGCTTCTTGGCCTGTGGGGAACGGAGGGGAACGGAGGGGAACGTCAGGCTCGTGGAAAGCAGCCCCACCCGACAAGGGCCCGGGACAAGGCCTCACCTGGACCAGGTTGATGCCCTGCACGTAGTTCTTGATCTCCTTGATGAGCTTCACCTTGTCCACAGGCTTGGCCTCTGTCAGGCGGACAGTGAAGTGGGTCTGTTCCTTCTGCTTGGGGAGTTCTTCTGTCTCCTGGGGCAAGACAGCTAAGGTGGCACCCGGTCGTCCTCCCTGCAGCCCCTTTCCCAGAGGTCCTGGGGGACCCACACTACCAGGCATACAGGCTGCTCCCGAACAGACCCTCACTACTTCTCTGGTCCCTCAGGGATCCTGACTTGTGAGGCAGGAAGAGTGGCACCAGTGTTTACTGAGACCATGCACAGTCCTTGGCCAGGCAAAGTCCAGACATCAGTGAACAATCGCATGGTCTCAACTACACCCTCCCCAGAGACCAGCAAGGGGTGCCACCATGAATGGGGCCATGTCCTGATTGCCCAAGACAGTCACCAACAAGTTCCCCCAACCCCCCCAGTGTACCAGCTTGGATAAAAAGCACTGGTGTGACACTGTAGGATACGAACAGGACCCAAAGGTCAGTTTGAACTGGAAGGTCGGTGGTTCAAACCCATTCTATACAGGGTCAATGTATGTTGGAACCAACTGGATGACACTAACAACCCGTTTCACTCTTCCCCGAACTGTCTGCCCAGTTCACAGGCCGGGAGGGAGGGGTACCAATTCCATGAGACCCTGCCTCGTGGAAGCATCAGACTTATTTAGACCTGGGAACCATGAGAGACCCCTGCCTGACTCCAGGAGGTAATGGTTATGGGATGGGGAGGCAATCCCATTAAAGAGTCCTAAGAGACCTAGCAATCAAGCACACGCTGCAGGGATTACTGCAGACCTCTGAACCCCGTGGTGGTGGTGGCGGTGGTCAGGGTATGTAATCACCGTTATGGACAATGGTTACAACTAACGGCATTCACAGATGTATACTTTAGTACAGGAAGATGAAACAACCGGTCAGGGATTTAACCTTAAGCCTCAGCAAAAGCGTCAACAAGGGACGTGTAGCAAACCTCGCCTAACGTCCACAATGCTACGGCCTGGGGAATGCGCAGCTGGCTGCTCGTATCCAACTACTGGGGCTCAATCTTAGACCAGGTTGGCTGGTTTCATGGCAGACACCCAAGCTGCCTCAGTGGCCACCTCCTGACCCTCATCCTCCTGCGGCCTCTGAACCCAATGGACTGGGCTGTCCAGCACCCTCCTCTTCTGCCCTGCCTCAAGGCTACTTACTGGCAGATACTCATCCCTCATACACACTGTGCCCCCAAAGGTACACGGCACTCATCCTGACTCCTTCAGTTTCCCCTCAAAGCCCACCCCCAAGGCTTCTTCACCATTAACCCTAACAGACCCCACAGCACACACAACATAATGTTCTGATTCGCTGCATTTGACTTATGCTGTTGGTGAGGGGTTCCGAAAGTACTGCTGTTAATGTTGTGAAGTGCCGTTGAGTTGGTTCTGACCCAGAGTGACCCAAGGAGCAGCTGGTGAGCTTGAACCGCCGACCTTGCAGTCCAGCACATTAACCCACAGTGCCACACCAGGACTCCTGTAGACCGCCAGAAACTCAAACAGAACTGTCTGAGAAATCCATCCAGAATGAGCCTAAGAAGCAATACCAAGATGTGGTCTCTAGTACTTTAGGCGGATTATCAGGAGGGACCAGTCCCCGGAGAAGGACACCATGCTTGGTGAGAGACCAGGAAGACCCTTAATGAGATGGACTACCACAGCGGCAACACCAATGGCTTCACACATGACAACTGTGAGGAGGGCCCAGGACCGGGCAGGGACCTAACCACAACACTGTCATTTCTCCTGGCCCTTCCTTTTCGCTAATTTGTTTCCCTCGGCTGGACTTGTGGTCTGCACATGCGCAGGAGGGAGGTTCCAGAGGAATTGTCTAGAGAGCGACACTGGCTGGTGGCAGGACCAGAGATAAAGGGCAGCAAAACTGTAACCATGAGGTGTGAGGCCTGGACAGGTCATTACCTCGGGGGCTTGGACGGCAGCAGGGGCAGCCCCTGGCATCACCCCGGCAGGCATCAGCCCCACGTCTTGAATCTTCAGCGTTTTCTGCAGGACACAGAGGAGCTGGGTCAGCAGCAGTCCCCCCCACGTGCTAAGTGTGAGAATGACATGCCCAAGAGGCCAGCCAGCTCCCCGCTACCTTCAGGAGCTCATTGAGGTCAGAGATCTCCAGGAGCGTGAGGCTGGCAATGTCCTGGACCAGCTGCTGGATCTTGGGGGGGTACTCCTTGGGGGCATTATCCAGGGGGGCACCAGCGAGCACTTCAGCTTTGCAGTGGCTGCTGCTCCTCATCTGCCGGACGGTCCAGACAGCGGGCACCTGTCGCCTAGCCCCCCCATTCAAATGGAGCTCGTCAGGCCTGGCTTGAGTAGGGGCCACACCACTAACAAGGGGATAGTCACGTGATTTCACATTCTTCAAACCCAACACCAAACACCAAACCCGCAGCTGCTGCTGCTGCGGAGATTCGGACACACAGCGACTCTATAGCAGACAGCGGAACCGCGATTCTGGTGAACTTGAACCACTAACCTTTAAGTGAGCAGCCCTATGCTTAACCCACTGCCCCACCAGACCTCCTCTAAAGCCTTCAAACAGCCCTAGAAATTCCCAACAATTTTTGCATTTCCAACCGTTACATTTCCAGTTTGAATGGGGCACTACCGACCCGAGGAAGGTAAATCAATGCCTTAAAGGGCACGTTTCCAAACGCGGGCCGCACGGCACCAAAAAACGCCTGGCCCGAGGATGCGAGGAAACTGAGGCGCGGAGACCGGCAGGGACTCGGCCAAGGTCACCGGGGCAGTACCGGGGCGCCCCCCGATCTGCAGCCTCGCCGCCCCGCGCTCCCTCCATGGCCCGCGCGGAAGAAGGCTGGCGCGGGGTTGGCCTCCCGTCCCCTCCACGCCCCAAGGGTCCGGACGAGGGCCGGCTTGGCCGCCTGCAGTGGTGCTCGTTGGCCTCCCGCCTCGCCCGGGCCCTGCGCCCCTCGGTACTCGGCTGCCCGGCCTTAGCTATCCCACCCGGTCCGCCCCCTCGGGGTCCCATCACCCCAACGGCCTCCTCTGCGGCCCGCGGTACCTGGCGAGGCGGAGCGCGGTGCCCCGGAGACCGAGACACGGCCCCCACAGGGGGCGAGCGGCCGCCGGCAGCATCGGTGCGCGCGCTGGAAGGTCACACGAGGATCCGCCGAGGAGGACGCTCTAGCCGACGGGCCACGGAGCATGCGAGCTGGGGAGGGACGCTCTAGCCACCGGGGCTGCGGAGCATGAGAGCTGGGATGGACGCTCTAGCCACCGGGGCTGCGGAGCATGAGAGCTGGGAGGGACGCTCTAGCCACCGGGGCTGCTGAGCATGAGAGCTGGGAGGGACGCTCTAGCTGTGCATCGCACTCCCCTCCTCTGGGGCCTCGACGTTACCCACAAGGCAGCGGGCCGCGCAGGCGCTAGAGACTCTCGGGCGGTGACTCGCTCTGGACCCAGGCACCGTGCAGCGGTCGGAACTGAGCGCCGGTCATACCCTGGAGCTCGGAGTTTGCACCGCTGCTGGACCGGCTCGCTCCCTCAGCAGATGGACCGTGAAGGGCCACTCGGGCTCCCTTAGTAACGGCACTTTCCCTGGCGCCGTTGTAGGATTTGTTCCGGAGGGTGGGTCGTTTTGAGTCGGAATGGATTTTGCAGCAATGGGTTGTCTTTTAAAAGCTTTTTATTGTGAATTGAGTAAAGGTTTACAGAGCAAGTCATCAATTTTACATTCAACGGGTAATTAAATCCTCTCTATGTACCATCAGTTAACAGCATTTTCACTTGAACTTGCACTCCCGTCTCCGCTGCGGTCATCTTTCCTGTATCAGCTACCCTCTTGTTAGGTGCCTTCGAGTCCGCGCCAGCTCATAGCGACCCTGTATAGGGTTTCTGAGGAGCAGCTGGTGGGTTTCAACCGCGGATCTTGCAGTTAGCAGTCCAGTGCTTATAGTGCCGCTTTTGTTAAGTGCTGTCAAGTCGGTTCCGACCCATAGCGACCCTGTGTTAGTGCTACTTACTGTTGTGAAGTGCCGTGAAGTGGGTTCCGCAGCCCGATTCGTAAGCACTGCACTACCAGAGCTCCTTGTGCTACTTACTAGCCCTGGATAATTTCCCCTTACCTCCCACCCCTGGTAACCATCATAGAATGCCTCTTTTAAGAAAACCCTTTTTTATCTTTACAACAATATTTGCCCTTTTGTGACGGCTAATTTCACTAGACCACAAGGTCGGTTTGAAACACAAGGTTGGCGGTTCAAACTCACGGACTGCACCTTGGGGATCCTATACAGGGTCGCTATGAGCTGGAACCGACTTGACAACACGCAACAATTTTACTTGGCATTATATCCTCCAGGTTCATCCGTGTTGTGAAGTGTTTTGCAAAATCGTTCATCAAAGTTGCGTAGATTTTTCATGAACTTTGGAGAATTGTGCTTTTGCTGGGTTGAGTGCTCTGTGTCTGTGTATGAGGTCAAGTTGATTACGTTTCATTCTCTTGTGTCGGTTTCAAATATACTCCTTTGCCTTTCAATACGTGGTCCATTTCTGAAATCTTAATCTTCTAGGTTTCTAATTGCAGGTGTTGCATTGTTTCAAAATCTGCTTTTGTCTGTTTTTATAGTTTTCCTGAATTCTAAGTTTTTTCTGTATTCTCGCATTTCTTAATCTTTCTGTCAAACAAGCAACCAACAATGAAAGAAAATAAGGGAGAAATATGAGAAAAGATGGACAGAAAAATGGAGCCAAACGAGAGAAAATAAAAGGAACTTTTTGAAACAACAAAACCAGGGAGAGGTGGGCAGGCTGGTGAAAGGAGATGGGGATAGGGCTCATGTGGCACAGTTGTGAGTAACTGTTATCAGGACTGACTGTGAGGCTTGGAAATGTAAAAGGTAGACGTTTTGTAACAAAAGGAGTGGAGGTCCCTGGGACCATCAAGAGAGAAGAGCAAAGTGCGGGACCCTACCCAGAGAAGCAGTGACGCCAGAGATGGAGAAGGGGCTGTGTGCTGACAACCCTACTGAGGGGCAGACTTGTGGGGTATACCGTTTGGTTGGGCGATGATGCATGGAGGGGACTGTAATCATGGCAATGAAATGATATACGATAGGATGAATGTAAAGCTAATGTTCTCCCATGTAAACTATCACATAATTCACAATAAAACATTTAAAGAATAAAAAAGGGACGATAAAAACCGAAGAGGGGAAATGAGAAACAGAAGGAAACACAGAAAGCAGAGTTAAAAAGGATAAAATTCAAGGGAATGGAAAGAGGTGGAGAAATAATAAAAACGAAACAAGAGGGAAAAACCAAACCTAAAAAAAATAAATAACAGGGCAGGTGCTGGACCTGGAGAGAAGTAAATTCTAGGGGGTTCCTGCAAGCCAGGGAGCTCATATCTCAGGAGGGATAGGACAGTGGCGTTCTAGGTTCTAGAAGGGTCTCCCACGGGCCTAGGTGTTATCCACATTCAGGGAATTCAATCCCGAGTCTGTTCCTGAGGCCTTTGATGGAGCTGGTTTCAGTGTGAGGTCCACAGAGCAGCTGGGGGCAGGGTACCTGGTTAAATGCTGACTGGTGACTGCCAACTCCAGGTACCAAGGTGGCAGAAGCCAGCCCCTGCCTCACAATAGTTTCAGTCACAACCACATACCTTCAGACTCGAGTGCAGGGTGTGCGCTTGGGGTAGATGAGGGTGAGAATGAGCCACACCTCTGTTCACCAACAAAAAATCAAGATATTCATGCCCCATCTGGCCAGATATTCACCAGTCTCCCTCTGACGCTGTCCCAGCTCAGCTTCTCCCAGCAAGTACTTAATCCACTTCTCTAACCTTTCCTCTGGAGTTCAGGGTTATTGGATTTTCATATTTCCTTTTCTGATGGCTTTCTTGTAGAGGGTCCATGAGTGTGTCTGCCTAGTTTACCATCTTGCTGGAAGTTAGCAATGGCTTTCTTATGAGCCTCTTCCTAAGGGACTGCTAGGCTTGTCAGTGGTGTGTGTGTACCCACATTGGTAATAATGACCTCAGTGCCCCCCTTCCTGCCCAGGTCCATACTGACATGAGGGAGGCCAAATAGGGCTCCATTTGTTGCCACAGAAGGCCAGTGCCAGGAGGGAGAGGGCCTGCACCACCCTGTGCGGGCACCCCTTGTGCCCTCAGGGGTGAGGGCCAAGGGTGCCCCATGGTCTTTGTTAATGACTGAACTAGTTAAGTAATGAAAGGAGGGCCTCCGGGGAGAGCTGGTTCTCAGGAACACAGGGAGCCCTGGCTTTCTGGTCCCAGCAGTTCGCAGCCTAAGCCGGCTTCCCCTTTGAGCCCTCCCAATCCTCCTAGCTATTGCACCTGCAGCAACGGATTCAGAGAGGACACCATGTGATCTCCCGGCCTTTGCTCTTGGTAGGGAGCAGGTGGGGGCTCCTTTCCCAGCCCGGGCGTGCTCTTGCGCACTGCCTCACCATGCTCATGCTTTGCTCTTTACACACCCCCATTCTCCATCCTCTACCACAGTAGAGCTACTACTGGGCCCACCTGAAAGGCCAGAGAAAGGGAGGCTGTGCTGGGTTCTGAACCCCAGACGGGAGTTCACTTTAAACACCCATCACCAACCTCAGTGGGTTCTGAACCCTGGATGGAGTTCACTTTAAACACCCATCACCAACCTCAGTGGCCTCCCGCCTCGGCCAGAGCCGGCTCAGCGCATTCCGCAGTGGACTCAGCCCCCTTCCCTCTCTAGAGGTCAGAGCTCTCAGGGTCCAGTCTTACTATGTATGGAACACCAGAGAAACCTCAACCTGTCAGCAACTTGGGACACATGGGGTCATGACCGGGTACGGCAAGAGGAAAGCCCCTTTGAACCCAACACCAAGGCCCAGGACGCTTGCTGTCCCTAGAGAGCAGGTCACAGCCAGAGCAGAGGCAGAGACCATGGGGACCGGGACTGCCCAGTGCTGGCCCTGCCGGCGCCTCTCAGTGAACCAGGTGCCTTCTCAGTACGTTTTATTACCTTCACCGCTCCATTCGGTCTACTCAGGGGGCTGGGAGGGAGATGACCGCAAAGAAGCAGAAAAGGGAGGTGCCCAGAGCCGTCTCTCCCCATGCTGCGGAGGGTCGGGGCCACTGCCCCTGTGGAAGGGGCTCTACAGCTGGGTCACAGGCAGTCGCCCCGACTTTAGGCCTCTCAGCTGGACAGAGACCACGCCTGCTGCCACTGGCCTCCCCTCTAATCCTTCCAGAGGCCTGGCCCTGGGGACCTGGCTGTGAGCCAGCAATACAGGATGAATGGAGCCGGGAAACAATGGGTGGCAGGCTGAGAACAGGAGAAGAGTGTGGGGGTGGACAAGAGGTGCCCAGAGCTGGGAACCACACAGGGCAGGAGATAGCCAGGGGCGGGTTAGGCCAAGGGCAGGCTGAGGAGCCAGTGTTTGGCTGGAGCTGTCCCACGGACGGTCAGTCAAAGGAGATAAGCTGGGCCTCACTGCTCTGCGTTGGCATCCCCTGAACAGATGCCTGCTGGGCCACAGGGGGGGGCTGCTGTGGAGGGCCCCCGGGGGGCTGCATCTGTGGAGAAAACCAGCCACTGGCTTCACTGGTAAAAGTGCCCAGGTTGGCCGCTTCCACAAGGGCAGGGCCCCAACGCCTCCTTCCAGGGGATGTGCTGCCTCCACCCCCCCGCCCTTGCCTGGCTGAGCCTGAGATGTGTACACGGGGCTGGAAGGGCCCTGGGGGGTGGGGGGGTGCTCACCTGCTGGTACACGGGCCGCTGCCCTGAGAGGTAGGGCTGCTGGGGGGGCAGAGGTGCGTCCTGGCTGGGGAGGGTGGTCATGAGGTTCTGGGGGGAGGAAATGAATGGCACTGAGGGGCCAGGAGTGGACAGAGTTTGGGTGCGGGGAAGGGCTTTGCCCAGCATGCCACAACCATTCTGGGATGTCAGCCACCCCCTAGCCTGGCAGCACCTCGAGATCTCACCTGCATGCTGTAGGGCTGATAGCCCACGGAAACAGGCTGACTCCCCAGATAACCCACGGTCCCAGGTGGGGGCTGGGGCAGGGTTGGGAGGCTCGGAGGAGCCTGGGAGGTGACCGTCTGCAGAGAGAGGGACAGTGAGCAGGGGCTCGGCCTGGACACAGGTGGGCAGTAGCTCCTCATCCACTTACCTGGTAGCCTTGTGTGGGGGGAGGCTGGTAGGACGAGTAGGCGGGACTGTTGGTGGGCCCAGCCTGGCCGGGAGGCCCAGTCTGCCCACCTGCGGTCCCTGCTGGGTACATGTAGGCATTCACCATGCTGGGATCTGTGGGGGAGAGGAGCAGAGAGATGGGGTCCCAGGAGTCCTATCACCACACTGAGAGAGTAACACAGGCACCAGAGCGAATGTGATGTCCTAGGCTGGGGACAAGGTCACAAAGGCTAGACCACAGGGAGCAGATATCGTCTCTGCAGCGGCCTGGGATCTAGTACCAGCACTTGAGCGGGTTGGCCCAGGAGGAGGCGACAGGGCCCTGAGCAGGAAAGCTGGGTGTGTGTGTGTGTGGACACACATATGTAGAGGGGACCCAAAGCGGAGCTACAAGACCAAACTTAGGCCCCACACCACCCTGTCCTTGGAGCTGCTGGAGAAAGGGACAACTCTGTACACACTGCTGGGGACACAGGCGCAGTGTAGGGGTCCCACCCATTTCAATAGCTGTGGTAGAGCAGGACCCCAGGAGCCCAGAACAGGGGAGAAAGCCTTCCTAGGGAAGAATCAGGGAACCAGTGGTGACAGGTTGTGGAGTGACAGGACATTTGCAAAGTCAGAGGTGCCCCAAGATGTCCATAATTTCACAGGGCTGACTGACACCCAGGAGACCACCTCAACCACGTGTCACCAGCAACAGGACCAAGTGACATGTGTGGACACAGCATGGCTCTCCCACGTCTGCCCATCAAGAGCCAATCCCAGACAGGCCTGCTTTGGACAGAATTGTGTCCCCTCAAGACATGGGCTGTCAATCAACCTCAGCCTGTGGTTGTAACCCAGTTGGGAAGGGGTTGTCTTTGTTAATGAGGCAGGGTTAGTGTGGGGGTGTCTTTAAAGCTCAAACTAGCAAGCAGAGATGGGAAGACGTGCCCAACATAGGATCACCCAGAGGCAGAAACTCCAGAGAGCCTTCACCTGGAGCTGGTGACCTGGGAGTCAGCTTGTTTGTTAGAGTGCCTCCTTGTGGTGCTCCTGTAACAACCGCACCAGAGAACTAACATGAAGTCATGGCAGGTGAGACACAGACAGACCCTGGACCATTCCAAAGGAAATGGACGCAGAGTGAGCATACTGGGTGCTCTTGTTCTGGAAGGTCCAGCGTGTTGGAATTTGGTCACTGTTCTGACACAGACAAACTGACTGTGTTAGGATTTGTGTACACAAGAGCTCAGGGACAATGGGGGATGGACCATGCATTCTGGGAACAATGTGCACTGTGAACACTGGGTATTTGTGTACCAATGTGCTCATGTGTCCACCTGTGGGGGACCCACTGCTGTAGTGACCGGAAGCTTCACAGGCTTTCCAAGGCTGTACGTCCTTACAAAAGCAAACGGCCTCATCTTTCTCCCATGGATTAGCTGCTGAGTTTGAACCGTCGACCCTGTGGTTAGCAGTGTTGTGCTTAACCCTTTGCACCACCAGGGCTGCTATGCTTAACTCGCTATGCAATTCAGGAAAAGAAAATACAGTAACTAGAGCCCAGCGTTAACATCTGGGAAATTCTTTGTACTGTTCTTTGCAACTTTTATGTCAATCTGAAGAGAGGTGGAGGTATGCCACTCCTGCCCTCGCCCAGCCCCTTACCTGCTCCGGACACAGGCATGCTGGGGTAGGGGCCACCAGCCTGGGTAGGCTGGTTCATGTACACTGTGTGCATGGGGGAGCCTTCCACTGAACCCGCCGGGCTGAAGGTGCCTGGGAAGCTGGTGGGACCCGAGGGCTGGTACATGACACCCCCAGCCGTGGGCATGGCCTGGAGCTGAGGGCAGAGACAGAGTGGCCTCAGCAGTTTCCAAGTGGACAGGGAGGGGAGGCGGGGCAACAGGGTGGGCGAGGCGATCGGATGGGCGGGATCTGGAGGCGGGCGATCGGATAGGCGGGGCCGAGCAGCGCGTGCCTGGGCGTAGGGTAGCGGGAAGGCCGGCATCTGCGCGCGCATCTGCACCGTCTGCTTCTGCTGCTCCAGGCGTAGCTGCCGCTCCTTCTCTTGCTCCTGCAGGCGCTGGATGGCCAGCTGCCGCTGCACCTCCAGGTATTCCTGGGGAGACACAGAGATCAGGGCCTTCTTCACCCCCGGGTGCCTTCCGACCCCTGCAGCGCCCCCCACCCGCCGCACCTGCTTCTTCTGCCGCATGATCTCCAGCTTGTGGGCCAGCTGAATCTGGCGTTGGCGCTCAGCCTCCTCAGCTGCCCGGCGCAGCTTCTCCCGGTGCTCCTCACGCAGGGCGCTGAGCGCCCCTCGGGCATCTCGGATCTGGGCCAGCTTGTCCTGCAGCCCCTCGTAGTACACTGTGGGGAAGGAGGAAGATGTGTCGGCATGGGAGAGCTCACGCAGAGGCGGTGGGCCCGGGACCCTGCGTCCATCCGTCCATCCACTCGTCCCCACGCACGCCGGCGCTCGTCCAGCTGGTTGAGCAGCTCCAGGAGTTGGGGGTGCATGCCATTGATGGCCTGGAAGAGCGAGAGTACAGCCGAGTCGTTGGTGATGCTGCGGCCTCGCATGTGGTTGCTCTTCATGCGATTAACGAATGTGCTGACAGCATTCTGCAGCCCTTTCAGGAATTGTTCATGACTCTCCTCCGACTCCCCGTTCTGGTATTGCTGCGGAGACAGAGCCGGCCGCTCACCGAGGTGCCCATAGTGGAGGCCGCTGACTCTGCCTCCAGCTCTGACTGGTTAGCACCCTGCCCACGGTGACCATGAGCAGGACCTGGGGTGGGGCTGCCTCCCTGAGATCCTGGTCCAGACACCCTGGGAAACACCAGAGCCCAATCTGGGGGGTTCTGGGCTCTCAGGTTCTAGCCTGACTTCCCTGCCTCCGGGAGGCTCCTTACGCTGGCGGGGAAGGGACCAGTGGGAGAGGGTGTACCCTCAGTTCCCCCAGAGATGCTGGAGGACCCAGTCATGGCTCACCTCACTGAAAGGACCCCCAGATGGTGCCGCAGGCTGAGAGTCAGGCTCGGGGAGGGGCATCTGGAAGAGACAGCGTGAGGGAGCCTCCAGCTTCTCCTGCCCCTCAGGCCCCAGCCCCGAGGCCAGGCCACCAGGGCCGCCCTCACCTCCACTGCATTGGCTGGGGCTGTGTGCGCCTCCCTGGGCAGGGCAGCTGGCTCAGCCAGGGGCACCGGTGCCGAAGGCGTGGGGCTCTTGCGTGCCTCCTCCTGCTTCTTCTCCCAGTAATTCCGGTTCAGATATCGAGCCAGCTGCACAGACAAGCGAACGTCACTTCTAGGCTGGGAGACACAAGAAGAGCACATCCCCTCCCAGGGGTAGGACTTACCTCGGGGTCCACATCCTCGGCCAGAGGTGCTGACGAGTTCTGGGGGGGAAACAGGGTCTTGAGGAGCTGTGAGGGCAGCAGAGGCTCACCCCCCGCCAGCTCTTACTGACAGGCTCTCCCCTCCTTCCTCAGTCAGGGTCACTTGAGGACTCCAGGAGGGTCTAAACAGGGTGGTCCGTGTGCCCTCGCCCACCTGGGACCGCGCCAAACCAGGATGGGTGGGCCCTTGGGTGTCACTCTCCACACCTGCCCTTTATGGGGGATGGGAGATCTGTGTCCTGCCCAGCCTCACCCCTAGAGGCCCCTCTACTGCAAAGTAGGGGTGTCATCACCTCTACGGAAGAGCTGAGGCAGAGAGACCAAGGAGACTGGATGAAGGCCGAGTCCCTGCCTCAAGCTCATAGGGAGGCGGACCAGGGCACAGGGAGTCACGGGCCTAGTTTGCTGAGCACCCACACTCCTTCTTGGGCCCTCAGGCCTGCCAGCAGGCAAGACAAGGGGCCAGGGGAGCCTCACCGCAGGAGAGGAATATAGGCTGCTAGCGGGCGGCGCGGACGAAGCCACGGGCGTGGGCTCCGTCTTGGGGTACGCAGTGTATGTCGACTTCTGTCTCTGCAACACACCGGGGCGTGTGACAGAAGTGTGTCTCTACAGTCTCCCAGTGCCCAGCCTTAAGAAGCCCACGAGCCCCTGCCATGGGGAGCATGCACCCACCATGCGCTCCTTCTCCTCCGCCTCCGACTGGGACAGGGCCAGGGCCAGCTGCAGGTCCTCCTCCTCCTGCAAAGCAGTCTCGTCCCGCTTGGGGGGCAGCTGTGACACAGAGGCCGGGGGT